TTCCAGCTGTTCGAGTCTGTTCTTTCTCCCTCCCTTGCTCGAAACCCCCAACTGTTACGGTCGCTTCCGCTCTCTTTTTCTTGACCATTTTTCACTTCTTCTCATCCATTGCTGTGTACACAGAGGCTCAAAGTCTTCTGAGGGCGTAGGTTTCGCAGCGTTTTTCCCGGGACAGCGTCGTACAAGGGCATTTACTATCTTCAGCTAGTATTTTTACTGCTGAATTATATGCCATCCTTACAGCACTTATCCGTATTGCATCTATGCCTGTGTCATCATTTGTGGTTGTCTCAGACCCCCTTAGTGCTTTACAGGCTATACAAAAATTTGATACACCTCACCCCTTAGTCCCCCGTATCCAACTTTGGCTACCCGCATCTTTAACTAAGCATAAAGAAATGTTTTTTGTTGGGTCCCTGGTCATGTTGACGTACAGGGCAATGAACGGGCAGACACTGCTGGTGGTCAGCAGTACATGACCTACCATTTTCTTATAGAGGTATTCCATGTACGGACTATTTTGCTTGTAATATCTTCCCACCTTCGCACCCGTTGGCAACAACGTTGGTCTACTATGCTCGGCAACAAACTTCACCCTATTAAACCGAGTGTGGGTTTACTGGCCGTCTTCTTATCACCATGTCGGGGTTTGGGGAGACTACTCTCTCCCGTCTTCGCATTGGCCATACTCGTCTTACTCATGGATATCTCATGGAGAGGCGTTTTGCTCCTCTCTGTGAGAATTGCCAAGTTTCCCATTATCAGTCAGCCACATTCTGTTGGACTGCCCACTTTATCAACGAGCACGCAGAATTTACCTCTGTCGTCGTTTTCCCGCCCCCGCTGCTCTCTCTTTACCTTCCCTTCTCGCTGATGGACCCCCTTCATCCGGACTCTCTCATTGACTTTTTGACAAAAGACTGACTTACTTCACAAATTCTGATACTTTCAGCCCCTTTCTACTTGAATCTCTTGCTACCCTCCCACCCCCGTACTATCCCCGCCCCGCTGTTTTCTGTAACCTGCTGATCATCCCCCCTCCCTTCTGCCATCCAATTCCCTTGCTTCCTTCCCTACACTGCAGCGCTGTATAGCCCTTGTGGCTTAGCGCTTCTTTTTGATTATAATAATAATAATAATAGGCGAACTCACATAACTGGCTTTATCGTTGGCACCAGCTACAATCTCTTGACCAATTATGTGAGCCAAAACAGTACTAGGACCCGGTACAAGGGTGCTAACAACCACAGGTAGATGGGTGGATGGCTGGGGTGGGGTGGTGTGAGTAGAGTGGTGGTGGTGGGAGAGTGGTGGGTGGACGCCGGGGGTCTGCCGCGCACCCCGGGTGGTGGGAGAGAGTGGTGGGGGGGACGGTGAGGCTGCCGCGCACCCCACTCACCCACGAAGATGGCTTAACCCACTCTATGCCACAGGAATGGTGAAAACCACTCTTAGCATCCAACAGGGAGCACAAAGCGATATAGACAATACTTCAGAGGAACTTGGCTTACTTCTTACTGCGTGGCTTACTTCTCTCTCTCAGCTGGGTTAGAAGCTGGGTTGGCTGACTGGCTTACCCCACGAGAATGGCTGACTGGAAGACGTGTAACGATGCACAAAGCACGGAGGAGCAGTTGGATGACAGGAGACAGGCTGGATGATAGGCTGGCTGGCGTTCACTTCCACAGTCTGGCTTACTGACTGGCTTAATTGCAAAATCCGGGTCAACCCCTCGGAGATTGAAGCAATTAGCACACGAACTAAGCCAGGAAGCGTGAAACGGCTGCAACAGGCTTGCAGGATGAAGTTGTGAGGGGAGTCAGACTGCTGGTGGCTGGAGGTGCGCGAGGGCAGTGGCTGGTGGGCGACGATTCACCTTTGACCCTGCCGTCTACTCACAACAGTCTTCAAACGCCTTGAATTACCCTTAAAAACGTAAATCCACGCTCCACACCGCTGTACACCATTTATCATGTGGGAGTTCGATACGTGGATTAGGTAAGAAATACTCACGTAGGCTGTTATTACGTATAATTGCTGTTATGTGGAGAGAGCCCTTGCCAGCCGTACCTATCTCCTTGGTTACACTCGTAATACTGACTAGCCGGCTGCAGTACCCTATGTGAGGGGGCCTTTGAATACTGCTGAGGTCAGCACAATATGAATTCAGGTAGTGACTCAGGCAGAGACGGTTGGTCGTTGAGTCAACGGACGGTTACTGGTAACTGGTTACTACTACTGAGACTGGTAACTGGTTACTACTACTGAGAGGTGTACCTGAGTGTGCTTCATGGTGTACCAGAGTGTGCTTCATGGTGTACCTGAGTGTGCTTCATGGTGTACCTGAGTGTGCTTCATGGTGTACCAGAGTGTGCTTCATGGTGTACCAGAGTGTGCTTCATGGTGTACCAGAGTGTGCTTCATGGTGTACCAGAGTATGCTTCATGGTGTACCAGAGCGTGCTTCATGGTGTACCAGAGTGTGCTTCATGGTGTACCAGAGTGTGCTTCATGGTGTACCAGAGTGTGCTTCATGGTGTACCAGAGTGTGCTTCATGGTGTTCCAGAGTGTGCTTCATGGTGTACCAGAGTGTGCTTCGTGGTGTACCAGAGTGTGCTTCATGGTGTACCAGAATGTGCTTCATGGTGTACCTGAGTGTGCTTCATGGTGTACCAGAGTGTGCTTCATGGTGTACCTGAGTGTGCTTCATGGTGTACCAGAGTGTGCTTCATGGTGTACCTGAGTGTGCTTCATGGTGTACCTGAGTGTGCTTCATGGTGTACCAGAGTGTGCTTCGTGGTGTACCAGAGTGTGCTTCATGGTGTACCAGAGTGTGCTTCATGGTGTACCAGAGTGTGCTTCATGGTGTACCAGAGTGTGCTTCATGGTGTACCTGAGTGTGCTTCATGGTGTACCAGAGTGTGCTTCATGGTGTACCAGAGTGTGCTTCATGGTGTACCTGAGTGTGCTTCATGGTGTACCTGAGTGTGCTTCATGGTGTACCAGAGTGTGCTTCATGGTGTACCTGAGTGTGCTTCATGGTGTACCTGAGTGTGCTTCATGGTGTTCCTGAGTGTGCTTCATGGTGTACCTGAGTGTGCTTCATGGTGTACCAGAGTGTGCTTCATGGTGTACCAGAGTGTGCTTCATGGTGTACCAAAGTGTGCTTCATGGTGTACCAGAGTGTGCTTCATGGTGTACCAGAGTGTGCTTCATGGTGTACCAGAGTGTGCTTCATGGTGTACCAGAGTATCAATACACTTCTAGACTAGGTAACAAATTCTCCAGATAAACATTTCAGTGAATTGTTTATAAACATGTACCACAACATTTTCCTTACAAAATATAACTTCAACTTGCATTATGTGTGTGAATGCTTATTCCAAAAAAAAAAACGCTTTATTCTCTCATACTTAACCCTTTGAGGGTCGACAGGCCCTCTCCGAAACTCGTTCTCAGGGTCGGCCAAATTTAAAAAAAAAAAAAAATTATTTTTTCTTATGAAAAGATAGAGAATCTTTTCCCGATCATAAAGACACCAAAAGTTTGAAATTTGATAGAAAACTTACGGAATTATGCTCTCGCAAAGTTAGCGGTCTCGGCGATGTTTACGCATCGGCGATTTTGCCCACTTTGAGCCCCATTTTCGGCCAATTTCACTGTACTAGTCGACAAAAAACATGAATATTACGCTAGAACTCCATTTTTTCTATCGAATGGGTGCAAGAAACCACTCATTTATGAAATTCAACTATCCAGTACAGTGGTCAGAATTTAGCAATTTTGCCAATTTCACACAAATTTCAAAAGATGCCAATTTCCGAATAGGGTCCAGAATAAACAAGAAAGACATTCCTGGCACTAAAATGACATTTCCTCTAGTCATTATTCACGTCTCAAGGCCCCTCTTATATTCTTTTGCTTTCCACTTTGAATTTTTATTTTCACAAAAAATATAAGATTTACTGTTATGCAGACTACTGCATTAGTGTAAAAAACGGTATAAATATTATTGGTGCACTTGTGAAAGAATATTAGACTCACCAGTTGACGTGTATTGCACGCTTGGCACGATTTGTTTACTTTTGAAGTTTGGTAAAAATCGAACATTTCTGCTATTTTGAGCTCAATTTCAAGGCACCTTTCTTTGTAAAACCAGTCAAAATCATCTCTCTTTCTGTAATATGTCTTCCATTTTATAAAATGAGACCAAGAAAACTAGAATACAATAATAAATACCTTACGAAAATACACTGCAAAGTCGCTGATTTATTAAAAAAAAATGGTCAAAGTTTTTTTTTTTTTCTCATTATGCACTGTGTGCTGCAGGAATTTTTTTAGACTGTGCACACTGACCACATAGACCCATTCTTTCATATGAAGGCCTACCAGCTTTCTCCCACTAGATTTGAGGCCGCTAGAATTTATGAGTACTAGTACGTCAAAAACCCCTACGCGTAAGACGTACTAGTACGACGAAAACCCTCAAAGGGTTAATGAATGTTTGAATATAATACTTCATTTATTTAATAAATTATATTTTTTTCACGAATTTTAAAATAATTCCTGAACATAGACATTTCCACATTGAAGCGATAATAATGATAGACATATATTGTCAGTGTGTCTTAATGTTGTTTCTCATAAACATTCTTTAATTAAAAAATCCAGAATTCATGTAAATAACGAGTTCACAGAAAAATTAGTATTCCATGTGTGAATGACTGTCCAGGTGATTAACATGATTGAACATTAAAATGGTATAAAATACCGACAGGTTGTTAGGTAAGACACACATGCAACAGTTAGGTATCTTTATTTCGAAACGTTTCGCCTACACAGTAGGCTTCTTCAGTCGAATACAGAAAAGTTGATAGAAGCATAAGAGACTTGAAGACGAGGGACCTGACCTCCCAACATCTGCGTTCTACTAGTGACCTACGTCTCACCTGCTGGCGCTATATAAGGCTCCATCCTGTCACTTCAACTCCATATTATTCCAGACAATGGAAAAATACTCTCCTCCAGACTGAGGGACTGACCACCTCAAAACTTTAAGGGTGATGGACTGATTACATCGTCTTCAAGTCTCTTCTGCTTCTATAAACTTTTCTGTACTTGACTGAAGAAGCCTACTGTGTAGGCGAAACGTTTCGAAATAAAGATGCCTAACTGTTGCATATGTGTCTTACCTAACAACCTGTCGGTATTTTATACCATTTTAATGTTCAATCTGTCAGACACTGCAACACAAGGGTATCTTGGTACAGACCTGAAATCAACTTTGACAACCTCTACTAGTGAGAACGGCTGGATTTGAGAGGGACCTGACCTCCCAACATCTGCGTTCTACTAGTGACCTATGTCTCACCTCCTGGCGCTATATAAGGCTCCATCCTGTCACTTCAACTCCATATTGTTTCAGACTATGGAACAATACTCTTCTCCAGACTGAGGGACTGACCACCTCAAAACTTTAAGGGTGATGGACTGATTACATCGTCTTCAAGTCTCTTCTGCTTCTATCAACTTTTCTGTACTCGACTGAAGAAGCCTACTGTGTAGGCGAAGTGTTTCGAAATAAAGATACCTAACTGTTGCATATGTGTCTTACCATTAACATGATGCAACACATGAGAGTAAATGACTGTCCAGGTGATTAACATGATGCAACACATGAGAGTAAATGACTGTCCAGGTGATTAACATGATGCAACACATGAGAGTAAATGACTGTCCAGGTGATTAACATGATGCAACACATGAGAGTAAATGACTGGCCAGGTGATTAACATGATGCAACAAACGAGAGTTCCTCCAGGAAAAAAAATATTTCAGTGTTCAGAATGTCCAAAAGTTTTTCAAGGTAAATCAGATCTGGTAAAACACATTAGAGTTCATACACACGAAAAACCGTATCAGTTTTCTGAATGTCTAAAATGTTTTTCACAAAAATCACATCTGATGCAACACAAAAGTGTTCATACACAAGAAAAACCATGTAAGTGTTCAGAGTGTCAAAAAAGTTTTAAAAGTAAATCAGGTCTAGTAAAACACATGAAAATTCATACACAAGAAAGACAGTATCAGTGTCCAACTTGTCTAAAATGCTTTGAAAATAAAGCAAGTCTTTCATTACACATGAAAGCTCACACACAAGAAAAATCGCATCAGTGTTCAGAGTGTCTAAAAGACTTTTCACTTAAATCTTATTTAATAAAACACATGAGAGTTCATACTCAAGAAGAACCATATCTGTGCTCAGTGTGTCTAAAAACCTTTAAAAGTAAATCTGGTCACATGACACACATGAAAGTTCATTCACACAAAAGAAACTATAAATGTTCAGAGTGTCTAAAAGACTTTATGAATAAATCAAATTTAATAAGGCACATGAGAGTTCATACTCAAGAAAAACCTTACCAGTGTTCATTGTGTCTAACAAAGTTTTCACAGAAGTCAGCTTTAAAGAGACACATGAGAGTGCATACACAAGAAAGACCCTATCACTGTTCAGAGTGCTTAAAATGCTTTTCACATAAAGCAACTCTAACACAACACATTAGAGTTCATACAAGAGAAAAACCATATCAATGTTTAGAATGTCTAAAAGAGTTTTCAGATAAATCTTCACTAATACGACACAGGAGAGCTCATACACAAGAAAAACCATATCAGTGTTCTGAATGCCTAAGAGATTTTTCAAGAAAATCAATTCTAATGCAACACATGAGAGTTCATACAAAAGAAAAACCATATCAATGTTCAGAATGCTTAAAAGACTTTTCACATAGATCTTCACTTATACTGCACTTAAGACTTCATACACAGGAAAAACCATATCAGTGTTCAGAGTGTCTGAAAGAGTTTTCACGAAAATCACATCTAGTAAAACACATGAGCATTCATTAACAAGAAAAAACATATCAGTGCTCAGAGTGTAGAAATTTTTTTTTTTTCAAAAAGCCATAACAGCATTCAGAGTGTGTAAAAAGGCTTTTCACATAAATCATGTCTGGTATAACATGAGGGTTCTTCCAGTAGAGAATCTCCTTCATCGAGGATTACCTTGATGCTGTTAATGGGCTCTTGATCAAAATAATTTGGAGCTACCCTACCCTTGATTAAGTCTTTTTTAACCCTTCACCCCCTTCCACTTCCCAGGTGATGTATTACTCCTGTGTGTTTATCTCTCCATGAATATGAATAAAATGCAGTACCTAATTATTTTATGTATTTACTTTATGTACAAAACAGTAGGCATCACCCTTTGCTAGGGTCATGTTCCTAAAATGGAATTAAGACATGATAATGTGACTTGTGAAATCATAATAACATGACTGTAAAACAAACCATTGTGTAAGCCACTTGGCCAGCTGGTTCTAATAGAGTTCATTCAACTAGGTATATTTCTATAAGGTGTCCTGTAGCTCGATCGCTAGCACACTCAGCTCACACGCTGAGGTTCGGAGATCGAATCCCCAGTATGGCTGGAAAACATTAGGATGTGTTTCCTTAAGACACCTCCTGTCTGTGTTCTCCCATCAGTATAATGGGTACCTGGGTGTTAGTCGACTGGTGTGGGTTGCATCCTGGGGCAAAACTGACCTAATTTGCCCAAAATGCTCAGCATAACAAGGGGCTTTCTATATAGTATTATGTCATTGATGTCAGCTTGGCCTGTATACCTTGTACATGTACTTGTAGAAATAAAGATAATATATATTATTATTATTTTATACACCATAGGGAAGTTAGTATGGGTCCCGCTATGACTACAAATGCAAAGTTTTAGAGATGAATCTCCCACCAGAATGGTAAACTCTAGCTTAACCCTTTGACTGTCGCGGCCGTATATATACGTCTTACGAGGTACCGTGTTTGACGTATATATACTCATAAATTCTAGCGGCTTCAAATCAAGCAGTAGAAAGCTGGTAGGCCTACATGTGAGAAAATGGGTCTGTGTGGTCAGTGTGCACCATATAAATCCTGGAGCACGCAGTGCATAATGAGAAGAAAAAAGTGTTCGCATCGCTATTGGGCCGTGCGGACGTGCTGCACAGTGGCTCCTGATTGAGTTGGCATTTGCGCAGTGTTGACGTGTACTTGGTTCTGTGAAGACCTGTTTGCGCGCTCTCTAGAATTGAAGCAAGATGCCCTCCATCGAGTAACTTTACCAACAGCTTAAGGAAGAATTGAGGTTGGCGAATTTGGGGAAATTAGGCGATTGCCCGAGGGAAAACAAGAAATTCGTAGTACCCCTCCTGTTTAGGTCCTCAGGTCAAGAAGGGAAACTGTCAGTGGCTGGACAGCAGGGAAAGAAAGTTGACGATCAAGAAGACAAATGGAAAGTAAAGGGGAAAAAGAAGAAAGAGACTGCCGGGAAATGTTGTGGAAACATCCAATACATTCAGTGTACCGACGAATGTGAGTTGACTATGGGACGACACGACGAAAGACATTAAGGAAGGTAAGAATATTGTTGTTGTTGGGGATAGCCAAGTTAGGTATAGGGATAGGGGCGTTCTGCTTGAAGGACAGGAGTAGGAGACGAGAGTTTGCTTTCCTGGGGCTGGGATGGAGGATATTGTTAGCCGTCTGGATGACATCAAGAGAGGTAATGGGAGCAATCCTATTATCTGTCTCAGTGCCCGGAGGCAAAGATGTTGGCAGACGTAGGAGTGAGGACCTGATTAGCAGGTATAGGTCAGCAATAGAAATAATTAGAAGTAAGGGTGGGAACCCTTCATATGTGGATTTTGCCAAGGAGGGGAGTTGGAAGGAATGGTTGTCCAGGGCAATTGGTGTCAATTGCTGGCTGACAAATACTGTAAGGAAAATGCGGTAACATTCAAATTTACAACTGGGACCTCTTCTATGGCAGAAATGACATGTATGCTAGGGATGGGGGGTTTACTTTCTAGGTGTGGGGGGGAGCACTGGCAACTGCAGTGGAGGGAGCAGTTAGGGGCTTAAACTAGAAATAGTTAGTGGTATGGGTTTTGGCAGGAAAACAGTGAAGTCCCAGTGTAGTAATATTACGAGTTCTAGGGAAACAGTAATAATAAGAACGAGATAGATATTGAAAAGCCAGGGACCTTGGTGATAAGGAAGTAATAGGTTTAGTAGAAAAATAGAATGAGCAGGAAGGGTTAAAGAGAAAGGAGAGTCTTTCAATGTTTATTATGCTAATTGCCGTAGTGTAGGAATAAGATGGACGATTGAGATTAGTTGCTAGTGTAGGTAACATTGATGTTTTTGCCTTAATGAGACGTGGTTTAATTTTAAAAAGTCGGGACATGCCTGCGGAATGTCATATTCAGGGTTTTAAATTGTTCCAAGAAGATAGAAGTATTGGAGGGGGGGTGGGGTGGCATTGTATGTCCGAGATCGCTTGAACTGTTGCATAAAACGGGTTTTTAAGTCTGAAGTAACACATACAGAGTCTGTTTGGTTAGAATTTTCAGAGGGCATGAAAAACTGATTTTAGGAGTGATATACCGTCCCCCTAACTTAGATAGGGACCAAGGGAAACTACTATGGGAGGAAATTGTTAAGGCCACAAGGCCGATAATGTAGTAATTCTGGAGACTTTAACTTTAGTCATGTTGATTGGAATTTCTGACTGGGAATTTAGAATCGTACGACTTCTTAGAAATATTTCAGGATTGTTTTTTTGAAGCAGTTGTGACAGGAACCTACAAGGGGAAATAACCTGCTTGACTTAGTTTTTGGCAAACAATGAATCCCTTGTTATAATTTAGAAATTTCAGAGGAAAATGGGTGCTAGCGACCACAAATCAATTACATTTGCATTGAATGGGGAAATACGATAGTAGCGATAACTCAGTAACAGTCCCAGAATTTCGCTTAGCAGATTACGATGGGCTTAGAGAACACTTATCATCTGTTGACTGGGGTAACGAGAGAGCTATCAATATGACAGTTTTCTGAACACAATACATGCTGCTCAAAGAGCGTTTATCCCATATAAAGAAATTAGATCAAATAGAATGACCCAAAAATGGATGAATAATAGGCTGAAATATCTACTAGGGCATAAGAAAGGAATTTATAGGCGTATCAAAAGAGGTGAGGGTCATCTTATGAATCAGTATTTGACATTAAGAGGGACATTAAAAAGGGGATAAGAAAAGCTAAAAGGGACTATGAAATTAAAGTTGCTAGGGATTCTAAAACTAACCCAAAAAGTTTTTTCCAGGTCTATAGAACAAAAGTTAGAGATAAGATAGGTCCCCTTAAAAATAACTATGGGCACCAAACTGACAATGAGAATGAAATGTGCTTGATTTTAATAATTATTTTCTCTCAGTTTTTACACAGGAAGACACTAACAATTTTCCAGTAATTAATTTTTACAGTGGGCTAAAAGAAGATAAATTATGTAACATCACAGTCACTAGTGAATGGTTGTGAGGCAGATAGACAGACTGAAGCAAATAAGTCGCCGGCTCCTGATGAGGTTTTTTCAAGGGTTCTTAAGGAATGCAAAATGGAACTCTGTGAACCATTAACTAATATTTTTAAATTTATCTCTTCAAACAGGTGTAGTGTCTGATATGGGGAAAGGGATGGCTAATGTAATTCCTATTTTTAAAACAGGGGACAAGTCGTTACCGTCAAATTACCGCCCAATAAGCCTGACCTCAATTGTAGGGAAATTACTAGAGTCAATTATAGCTGAGATTTAAGAAGCCATCTCGATAAGCATAGCTTTATTAATGATACTCAGCATGGATTCACAAGAGGCCGGTCTTGTCTAACTAATTTATTAATTTCTTCAGTAAAGCTTTTGAGGCTGTTGACCACAATAAAGAATTTGATATTATTTTATTTAGATTTTAGTAAGGCTTTTGATAGAGTTCCGCACCATAGACTGTTAAAGAAAGTGGCAGCTCATGGCATTGGGGGAAAAGTGCTCTCGTGGATCGAGTCATGGCTCACTGACAGGAAGCAGAGAGTGTCCATAAATGGGGTTAAATCCGAGTGGGGATCTGTAACAAGTGGCGTTCCACAGGGATCAGTCTTGGGCCCGTTGTTATTTATAATATATATCAATGATCTTGATGAGGAATTACTAGTGATATGAGAAAAATTCGCCATGACACAAAGATAGGTAGGATAATTGATTCAAACGTAGATGTTAGGGAACTTCAGGAGGATTTAAACAAACTCTATTCTTGGTCAGGAAAAGTGGCAGATGCATTTCAATGTAGATAAGTGCAAGGTTCTAAAAGCTTGGGAGTGTCCATAACCCTAGTACTTATAAATTAAATGATGTAGAACTTAGCCATACAGATTGCGAAAAGGGAAACTTGGGGGTTATGGTGAGCACAACCTTAAACAAAGACAGCAATCCCTAAGCGTACGTAAAAGGCAAATAGATTACTGGGATTTATATCAAGAAGTGTAAGCAACAGAAGTCCAGAGGTCATACTGCAGTTTTATATCATCATTAGTAAGGCCTCACCTTGATTATGCAGCTCAATTCGGGTCTCCATATTACAAAATGGACATAAATTCGTTAGAAAACATTCAGCGTAGGATGACTAAATTAATACATAGCATCAGAAATCTTCCTTATGAAGAAAGATTAATAAGTAAGAATTTAAGTAAGTAAGTAAGTTTATTCAGGTATACACAAATACAGTTACATAGAATTATCATGTTAGCAGCATATGTGTAGAGAACCTAGGATAACCCAAAAAAGTCAGACAGAGTGACTTATTTCCATTGGGGTCCTTTGAAGACTCTAAAGTTACATTCACTTGTTAGACGAAGAATGAGGGGAGACCTGATCGAAGTGTATAAGTGGAAGATAGGTATTAATAAGGGGATATTAATAAGGCCCTTGAGGATGTCTCCCCAAAGGAGAACGCGCAGTAATGGATTTAAATTAGATTAAGTTTAGATTAGAAAGGACATCGGAAAGTATTGGTTTGGAAATAGGGTAGTTGATGAGTGGAACAGTCTACCTAGTTGGGTTATTGAGGCTGGGACTTTGGGTAGTTTCAAAAACTAGGTTGGATAAGTACATGAGTGGGATGGGTTGGAATTTGAGTGGGACTTTCACATCAGAGCTTATTTCTTGGGTGGCATTGAAAATTGGGTAGGGCAAATGTTTTGTTAGTGGGATGAATTGAAAGGACCTGCCTAGTATGGGCCAGCAGGCCTCCTGCAGTGTTCCTCCTTTTTATGTTCTT